TTGTAATTTTAATGTATTTTGAAAGTTCAATCATCAATAAAAAAAATCAAATAAATCTTTTTAAATTTGAAATTGAGTTTTAAAGGGATTTTAAAAAGATCAAAATACCATTTTTCAAAGTAAATGAAATACTTATGGTAAAAAGTCATTTTTTATCATGTAAGAGTTTTATGGTAAAAAAATTTACAGTACTAAATTCTAGATTCACTATTAGTATGGTGTTTTCGTATTTGTCACGTGAAAAATCGACCGCACCAAACATGTTATGTGCTTTGCGGTACCGCAATGAACATAGCATGTCCAGTGCGGTGATTTATCCACACCGTCTGAAAAAATCGGACAGTGTTGAACCTTTTGGTGAAAACACTTTTCATCTTGATAAAAGGTAGAATGCGACCATTTACCTTTGATACAAAGTAGTCACATTAATCTTGATCATTGGATGTGAAATTGGGTGGATGTAATTATTCCATTGACCAAGCTCAAGCTTTAAAAGAAATTTTCTCAAACTTTGGAACACATCCAAGCTATCAAATTTCACATCAAATGGTTGTAAAAAATTGTAACCACCTTGTATCAAAGGTAAGTGGTATCATTGTATACAATCCCATATATATATATATAAAATGTTGAGATTAACCTACTAGCTCATATGAACATAACCGATCTGACGGTCACGACCTCATTTCATGTTTAAAATTTTTATACATAAAGTCAATCGTTAATAAATAATGAATCACCGCGTATGATTTCACCATTAAAAAATTGGAGTTTTAAGGCAAGCATCACAAAAATGAACTTCGGCAAAACATCAAGGCCATGTAAGCAACATTCGCATTTTATAATCGCATTTTGCTTTTCAATTCACAAGGTACAAACCATTGCATTTCCCCAAAAACAAAAATAACAAATGACCGTCATTGAAGAAATTTCAGTCCAGTTTATTAACAAAAATAATCAGACCTATCTCTCTCCCTTACGTGTGCCTCTGTGGTTTTAGTATGCACATGGACCCTATTGGATCTTTTGGTTGATACCTCGATTGCTCAAAACAATGTTGTCCGGATCATAGCCGCCACTTACCCAAGGAGGGGTTTAATCCATTCAAAATCAGTCTAATCACTAATTAAATGGATTAGATTGGAATGTTAAAAAATAAGAAAATAAAAATAGATATAATAGTTTAATAATAAAAAATATATCAAAAAAGATTTCCCCAACCACATTTAATTGGTCAAATTGGTTAAAATTGACTATTTCAACCAGCCAAATTAATAAAATATTTTGGTTTTTACTTTAGACCAAACCGATCAAAGCACCAAACGGCGGTCTTAATAGACAAACCAAACCCTTGTATGATTTCCATAGAAGTGAATCTCCATATGTGATTTCCATTCCAATAAAGAAGGTAAATTTTATGCACCTTTTGACAAAGAGAAACTAATAACCATGTCACAAGTGAGCCAGAGAGTGGAACCTCATATTAAAAACAAATTAACCAATACGTAGAACATGAGCCCTGCAACTGTGCCTTGAGCATTCCGATCAAAATATATGAACTTACCTTTGTATGATTCTTACATCGGCCTTGATCCAAAGAGACCATCACAGGAGTTAAAGACTCCCCATAGAAGATTTTCAGGTAAACTCAGTTTGGTTAGTTGAAAACATGATCTGGCATTTGTTACTTAAAAAACAAGCTTCAGAGAAGCTTTCCAGAACCCACCCTGAAGATGTTCAGCAATCTTCTTTGACTAGATAACTCTTCCTTGAAACTTTTAAGACCCAATAAACTTTGGCGCAAGATCAAGCAACGGCACTAGTGCACTCGGAGCAAACTTTCGTGCAAAGAGAAAGCAAACTGAAGAGGATTGGTTATTGTACTTGCACTCATTCCCATTGACTATTCTTGCAATGAATTCCACTGTAATATCAACCTTACCGAAGGTTGCAGGGTGGGCTCCACCCCTAGACCAGTCAACCCAAGTGATGCTTCGATTTGCTATATGGTAAGGTGCCTTAATGGTAAACATGGTGGGAAAGTAATGCTCATCCACATAGCAAGCAGGGCGACAAAAGTTCTTGAATTTTGGGTAGTAAGTGGTATCCTCAATTAAGGTTAATGCAAGCTTGCGATTAACCTCAAACCATTGAGACCCTTTTCGCCATTCAGTAATGTTAACTTCGGGTGCCATGTTCTCATTGTAACGGCCCCTACCATATACGCTGGGGTCATCAAAGGAGCCCACAAAACTGTGGCGTGATCTCATGAGGTAGTGATAAACAGTGGTGAAGTTCATGATGGGGATGCATGATTCCGAGAGGAGGACAAACCTCTCATTGGAGAAGTCAAGGAGAGCATTTGCCAAAAGTCGCCTTTCTGCATCACACATACTCATCTCACCCCACTCAGCTACCTGCCAAGAAAGGAATGTTAACTTTACATAGCAAACATTAAACGGGGTAATGGTGTTTCTTATAACAGCTAGAAAAGATTATAAGATAGCATTATTTTCTTGGGGTGGTTTTTCTGAAATTTAGTGATTATAAAGAGATGTTAGTTATAATAATTTACGATAGACACCTTGGAGCTTTCTTTCTTTTTTTTCTTTTCCTTTTCCTTTTTTTTTTTTTGAGGGGGACGGGGTTTTGGGAGAGTTTGTTAAATTTTGTGGACATGATAAGGATATAGAAAGAGCATTCTTTTTCAGGTCCTCCTGATGATTATAATGGTGTTTTCTATATTGCCTAGGCATTTTAAGGTTATAGATAGGAGCATTTTTTTTTTTTCAAGGAAGTGGTTTAACATGGACTGGTTCGGATCTCAAACTTGGAGCTATGTTCCAATTAGTGGCCTATGTAAAAGCAGTCAGAAAATGGGAGGACAAGGATAAAGGACAGTAAGCAAAAGATTGCTCCTTTTTTTTTTAAATGGAAAGTTTGAGAGTTGAGAGAAGGCCAAAGATCACAGCACTGCAAAGAACAGGCTAAGTATTTCTTGGTATTTCCACAGGAATTTCCATCTTGGTATTTCCACAGGAATCATCAGGGACTTGAGACGAGACAACTCAGGTGAGTCTAAGTCGACTTGCCGAGTTTTTAAACAATGGAATGCAGCATGGGACTGAAACCCCAAAGTCAGGCGTAAGTGTTGTTTAGCTCACTTTGATGAGGGAAATATTAGCCCTACATAATTCAATAATATCGTAAGACAAGGCTCAATGGCTCATTTTTCAGATGGACATATTGGTGGGAAAAGGATCATTCCCTATTTCCTAGAGCTTTTCTAGACACCATCATAATCAACAACAACACAATCAATACGGTCCACTTTGAAAAGAAGGCAGCCTAATAACTTCGAGACCTTTAGGACCTTCTTGAATTCTTTGGATTGTTGCTGATCATAGTGTCAAGTATTTGTACATGTTCTTAGGAAGGCCAAAATGGCAGCTTTCGAGCCTGTTTGATAACTGGAAGCAAATTCATGAGCTGTAAATTAGAAGTTATTTAAGAAGTTCCTGGTTTCTATGTTTGATAACCTCCTGGGAAGTTAATAAGCTCCTGGTTTTTGTGTTTAATAACCACCTGAGAAGTTAAAGAAGTTCTGGGTATCTGTGTTGGATTAGCTTTAAATAAGTAAGATGTAAAATGTTAAAATTGAGACCTAGATATTATTTATTTTTTATTAATTTGTAGAACCCCAAGAAGAGAAACCCATGACATTTATTCACTTAAAATTGAAAGGCAAGTCCATCAATACTTCTACTGCGCTACAAGCACTTATATCAAGCTAGACAACAAGTCTTGTGTTTCCCAGCTAGTACTAACTCAATTGATGTAGAAAAGAGATGCAAAGCAACAGGGAGGGAGAAAACCAGAATACGAATGAGCAAGAAATCACAAGGAAACAAGAACATGGGACTCAACCACTTTGTATTGAGAGTGCCACACAAAGTAGAATCTACCAGTACTAAGCTGGCAAATAATGAGAAGGCCAATCCACAACCAACTATTATCTGGTAATCAGCAGTTGAAATATAGTGACAAAATTTTCACGCACTTCCAAAGTAGACCTTACTGAAAAACCAGCAAGAAACATTAATAACTGGTCCAACCGACATGTCTCTTGGTGGAGGGGACAACTATGCATTAACAACATAAAGGGGGTCAGATTAATAACCCAAATGCATCCATTATGAACCTATCCATTTAATCCATATTGTCAATTCAAGCTCCAATTCATCATCTTGCAACATTCATGAGCATCTCATGCAAGACATACTAGAATGGATAATTTGGAGGAGCACATGCAAATGACAAACACAGGTATTGAAATCTATTGAAGAGCTTAGGGGAACATCACCATTGATACTGCATATCCCTTAACACAAGCCAATGTCACACTAGCTTGAGTCACATTCCTAGAAATGAAATTGCATATTAGTTGAAACACAAGCCCAAACGGGAATCCATATAGGTTGAGCGCACCAAAGCAAAGAAAAGGAGATAGGGGTATCCTAACTTCATTTGTGAGACCATGTTTTTGCGGCCTAGGACAAGTAAAACGCAAATGATGTGACCATATATCCACATACCAATATATCAGCCCATGCAGATGCAGCAGTGTCCCTAGAGTGCCCTACCTTTGCTACAAGTAGATGGGGCTCAAACCTCCCAACAGAAAGCATAAGGCTAACTAACCCCATTACTTATATCAAGATTTTATTGTCCTTTTCATCAATGATAACTTTTAAGATTGAAATTTGTGAAATTAAAACAAATACGAAGACTTCATCTTTAGAAACTCCAAGTTCAGTTCTTAAGTCATGATTATTAAAAGGAAAAGGTAAAAATTTAGGCATTCTAGATAAATATTGTGCACTGTAAATATATAAGGCAAACGATTTTATGCTCCACTGAAAAAGTAAAAATGACAGTTTTCAGTGTTTGAACGGCCAACCGTCATTCGAAAAGCCAATAGTTTCTGTGCATGCTTGCTCTCATCATTCACTTGTCCTACACATTTTCCATGATTCCAAACCTCTTTCATGAAAAGGGCACCACCATCCCATTAGCAGTGTTGCCTTGTATTTGATGTAGAGTGACAAGAAACTGCTTGCTTCAATGACCAAAACTTCCAACTCGAATCAGATCCTAATGGAAAGTCCCAAATGCAAGTCTATGATTGTTTCCCCGAAATATAGAGTGGAAATCCCAATTGGTTATTTGTTAGTGAATATTTTACTGCAGTTATACTTTTGATAATCGATTTTTCCCCCTGCCCCTGCCGGGCATTATCCTGACTCACTTGCCTCAATATCAATTGAAAGCATACGCAGGAGATGGGGGTGGCTATTATGTACGATTGGAGAATCATTCTTTGGAAAAATCATATGAAATATCTTCCCCACCACCCGCCACCCAAACTCTGATTCTTCCCTCTCGTGCTATAGGCTTTGATGCTTACGCTTGCCTTAGCATGCGCATATATTGTAAATGGAAAATAGAAGTACTGCCATAGCTTTAGCATTATTTTATATTTCTGCTAATTGATGTACTATCTTTGAGTTAATCAGTGTGCTGTGAATCAGATCACAGGATTTTGATTCATGCAGTAAATGTCTGAACTACTAATCATGGTAGACATGCAATTCTTCAGTGATACAACTCTTCTCTGTGTTGCTTCCTCCGAACATTTGAGTATATGAATCAAAGTACACTAGATTGTCCCTGTAGCATACTTGTTTAAGTCATGGCCTTCTAACATATGAGAAAAAATGGCTTCTAAGGATACACAATATCGCATTAGGGATCTAGCTAGAGAAAGAAAAGGATATTGTTGTTATCAAGGAAAATCTCTCTAGATGTCTCTTTCATGTTTTTTGTTTGAAATATATATTTCTCTTTCATTTGACATTATATTATATAATAAAGATCTTAATTGCTCCAATGAGATAGGTAAAAAATACATAGACACACAATGCCACCAGTGGCTTACTACTACAAAGAACAGTTGCTCAGAATACCTCAATCACTCATATATATATATATATATATATATATATATATATATATATATATATAACTAACTATAGTAGTATAGTACGACAGTACGAGTAGTACGTACTACTATTAATTACTTCGTTCGTAGTACTACCTACTCTACGTACTTACTTA